ACACAGAAACAAGTATTATCTTGTGTTTGTGGAATAAGACAAAACTTACAACAAAAATAACTAGTTTACCGAGTCAAAAAGCAAAAACTCAACTGCTATCGATAAACTATTGTCCACAAAATGATATGATTTGATAGAGTCCGGCTTTGCCCTGAAAGGCATTCTTCCAGATTAGGTTATACTGTATGATCAAGAACTGTAGTCGTCCGAGGTTGCATAAGGTGATAAAGGGGCTATTGGTGAATTTTCTGGTGACCAAATGAGAAGGCTTCACAATATCATTGAATTTCACTCAGAATTGCACCCCAAAAAGTATCATTTTCAGGGCGGACTGTCGGTTTGACCTTGCTTGGGTCACCACAGCAACCATAACTAGAGTCAAATTCGGTTAATTCCGCTTTTTTCTCCGACACGTTATCACTACTCCGACTACCACGTGTACCAGTAGGTTTTCGAGACTACCAATACATCAGATATATGAGCTATGCTCACCCCAGTTTGTTTAGGGTAACGAGGGAATGGCAGTTGAATCTTCCCACATTGGAATGTGTAGAGTTGACGTTTCCATTGCATTTCGCACTGCCTTGCTTTCCCAAAAGGTATTCTGATTCAGGGTGAACTGCAGTTTCGACCTCACCTAAGGCGTATCAACACCCCTAGCAGGAGTCGAACCATGACATTGCAGCATGTTAGCTTGACACGTGAAAATAACTTTTGGGAAGCCAAGACCATGCGAAATGAAATGCAAACCTCAGGTCTTTTCATATGATTGTGGGATAACTCAAATATCAGTCCTTCATCACCTTAAGCGAAATAAGCTGAACACAGCTCATATATATGATTTTCCGGTAATCTCGAAAACCTACTAAAGAACGAAATATAAGTAATGTCGTCGATTGCTTTTGCAAATGTAAGTTTGCTTCATCGACAATCCCACACACGAATGTGATATGGAAGAATGCCTGGCATTCCTTTAAATTCATATTTGCTCTGTGATTTAAGAGGGCTCGTCGCAATGTGTGGTAGTGGTTAATGTGTCGAGACGAAATGCTGTCCTCTCATGATTCGAGTCCCGCTGGGGGTATTGATAGACTTACACAAAATGCAATCCACCCTGGATAGGAATACCATTTAGGGAGGAATGGCTATGTGAAATTGAACTGCAATGTCATGTCTTCTCATATCAGTGTGGGAAAATTCAACTACTAGTCCTTTATCACCTTAAACGAAATAGGGTTAACACAGCTCACAAAAGAGTTCACTTTCAATGCGATCAACACCCTTATTGTACCACGTTTTTATTGTGGAATTGTAGATGAAGCAAACTTGTACTTGCCATTGAGGTTTTTAGCTTCGCTTGCATTCGTGAGGATCTGAGCCATTCAACAATGTCAGAATTCACAGAAGTGGAGCACTGCTGTTATTTTTGAGCTGACGAATCGACAACAAATGATCCCTTTTGTTCTGCCATTGTTTTTGGCAGTCCTCGAGACAATCTTCTTGAGATGAGGCGAAATCTTTCTGGGCCTTTAGTCGGCCGAAAGGACTATCTTAATTTATATCCACACTGCGGTAACGCTGTCAAGGTTTTTCAATTTTTGCCATATTCGTTTCCATGGCCATACATTTCTGTATGCTTCTCGGCCTGACCATAAAATTACGGTAAACATGTATAACTAGAACAATCCGTGCAGGCGCATGCCTTCAAAAAGCACAAATTTGTGGGCAAGCATGGGGACAAGCTTATGCGTACAAAGACATACGAGTCAAAATTCATTATTGCAAGCACTCTATATATATGCATGTGTGTTTGAATATGTGTGCATTTGTGTGAGTGTGTATATTTGTGTGAATGCATAGGTATTACCACAACTAAGCCTTCTTGCGTTTAATTAAACACTGGTCGTCTCTTTGTATGGGAAGGAAAGTGTCCGCAGCGCAATAAAATTTGGTGTGAAGACAGCCCTGACTACGGAACAGGAACACGAGATGGGGCGAGGATGAAGTAAGCAGGGTCTGCTGATGGCGTGCCAGACCTCGGGTGGATGGGGTCGGTTAGCGACAGGCTGGTGCAGAGACTAGGGCGGTATAGGCTCGAAAGGTATGTGTGCAAGTGTGTTTGTTTGCGCATGGCTTTGTGTGCTTATGAGGTTGAGTCTGCGGCATCGGTGTCTGCATGTGGCGGCTGGTTTGCGCATGCGGTTCCCTGTCGCCATGCCTATAGGCGAATTCATGTGTATATACATTCAAGCCGGGCTAGACAGGAATGGGGCAACTGTCGGGATGCCCGCAATTCGCAGGTCTTCATCTTATTCTCAGAAGCTGTGTTTTGTTTATGCCATCTGGGAAGAGAATAGACCCAAAGGTGTGCGTTGCCCTTGGTCGGACGCTCCAACAATCGTTCTTCACCGTGTGGAGGCAAGACTGTCTCCGGTTTCGGAACTGTATGCACGGGCTTGTATGCCGTTCCGTGTGCTTTGAGGACATTCTTGATGCATACAATTGAATGTATGCACATACTTGTGTCTATATATACACATATATATGTTTGTGTTTGTGTGTGAGGGTGCGCTTGTTTCGATTTAATCATAAATCGAGCTGCCTTGATTGCGGCCCGTCACCAGCTCTCAGTCCCACCGGCATGTGCCTACTCTTGCCCACATAGGCCATGTGAATGTGCTTACTTGGCAAAAAGTCGTGACAGCAGAAGGGAAACTGGGAGGGAGCAACTCGATAGACGGAAATAGTTGGTCTTCTCTTTTTCCACGTCCTTTTCGGCATTTTGGTATGGGCAGTGACTTTGAGGATGTGCGGTTGGTGCCCACCTCATTTGTGATTTTCAACCGCAATTTTGTCAGGCTCCAAGACACCTGAGCCCTCGATATGTTCAGCATGGCAGCGCTGCCTCAAAGAGTGAGTAATTCGAATGGATATTCGGAGGGCCCTATTAGAACTCTGCCCAATCCACTAAACTTGTTTACACAACTAAACAGTGCATTTGAATTTGTGGCAATTGTGCCCTAATATGTGTG